ATTTTCCCCCTAATAAAGTTTTGAAAGCTATTTCAGATCAATACCAATATGTAGGCACCAACAGACAGAAATCTGTTTGTGGTGGATAAGGAGGATACTGGTTTCCCTTGTACCTAATTAGAAAGCTGAACAATTTCAATCATCTGTAGGTCAAGCTATTGACTAAAAGAGCATGAATTTCTTCTAACAAAGCAGCATTTCTGCTTGATCACTGGTCTTAAGAGTTTTAACAGTTCATGTTGTGATTGACGTTATCTTTATATGGAAACATTGGGGGAGGGAAGCCTCACAATCAGATGTGATGGAATGGCTGTTCCAGGGTAGGTGGAATAGAGAGGGTGCAAGTGCAAAATGTGGCCAAAACAGGGGTCTACAGATGGCATGTGTGCAGCTTTGGGGAGAATTTAGCAAACAAGGTAGCTTCGAGAGTGTGTTGCAGCCAAAAGAAACAAGAAAGTGTACAACCCTCTAAATTTATGCTGACATTTAACAAAAAATAAACCCTATTATGAATTACATCATTCATTTGTGTTAAATGCTTTAGAAGTGAGTATGAAGCTTACACCAGCAATAATAGCGTGCTGAAACAAAGTGTTCATATCAGAATGATACAGTGGATAGATTTCAGCTGAAAGTGAGTTCCAGAGCTTACTCCTATATTTCTCCAACCTTTTAAGTTGCCTGTGCAACTTGCTCATTGGCAAGTCAAGAGGTTATAAAAAGAGAGCCAGCTGATGTTGCAATCTAAGCAGTGGCCATATAGTGGAAAGACTCTACTTTGGCATGTTCACTAGTGCTATTTTTGCCTATTCCAGTAAGATCTGCCCTTGTGATGTTAAATTACAAGATAGTACCTGGAATTATTTTGTTCTTCAGAAGTGCTGTATGCTTTGAAGAAAACTTTCAGTGAAACTATCAAACAGATTGGGACCAAAAATATCTTATACCTGAAAATATTTTTCCTTCTGTCGCTGTAAATAGAGTTACTATTGTAGCTGTAACATTTTTCTCACTTTGCTTGCATATTTTTTGCCTGGCAGAGTTTTTTCCAGTTTTGGTTTCCTTCCTACAGTGAGTGTTTTTTCTGTCAATCTCTCTTATGAAGACTTAGCAGGGAGAATACTATTAGGAGTTTAAATAGGCAATTTTAAAGACAACGAATTAACAGTATAGCACCGGAATAAGTGTAGTACTGTTTTTTGCTGTTGTTTGTTTTTAACTTCTGAAAAAAAACCTAAGTGGTGTCAATTTAATTTTAAGATGATCATTCCTTCATGCACTACAAAATGAATTTTGCACTGCTTCTGGGAATATATTTTCAGCACTGCCCGTGATAGTGCCATAGCAACCAAACTTAACAGTATTGCAAACTGGAGGATATGGCAAGAATGCCTAATGCTATGGTTGTAGAAGTATCACATACGCAGATGTATGACCATATGAATCATAGTCCTGAAATGTCTAACTTCTATGATTACCTAATCTTAAATAAACAACGTTGTCTAAATGTGTTTAGTAGAACTATCAGCATCTAGTTCAGAAATTAATTGGTAGCACTGGAAGACAAACCTTTGACTTTGCTTGTTTCACACTGTTGTTCAGGCTATTTATGGAATTAGGTGTGTATTTGTAGCAGACTTCTTAGCTAGAGTTCTTAGAATTCAAAAGCAACTACTTGACACTGAAATATGGTCAGCGATGGACTTGCATGCAAGTCAGTAGTTCGTTACTACCCTTACAGAACACCTGCTTCCCTTGTACCTTTTCTCGGACTGTGGAGCATCTCAGGTGGAAATCCTGCAAGTAGGCACACTTCCGACACTATGAGCGGTTTTCTTCTCCCTTAGCTTTGCCATTGTCTTAGTTAAACAAAAGCTTTGCCATTGTCTTGGTTAAACAATTCTGCTTCTCAGATTTAATTGAATCTCACATCTGCAATAACAGCTGGTATTTTTGTCACCTCACTTGCTTCTTAAACTCTCCATGTTGCCAATTCGGTTAGCAAACATTCATACCGATTTTTCCTTTCTGTGTAATCTGTCAAGAAAGCTGACAAAACACATAATTTTTACCTCCTTACAGCTATTCTCACAGGCCGAAGTGTTGCACCTACTTTGTAACTTACCACACTTGTTTTATGATATCCTTTCTCTCCTTGATTTGTGTGTGTGTGTGTGTGTGTGCACGCGCGTGTTTCTTCGGCCAGTTTTCCACCACAAATGTTTTAGCTTTTCAGTCTAGAAACTCTATTTCTCCCCATCAGTTTTTTCTCTCTCCTCTCTTTCATTGGAGGTCATTTGCCATACTGACTGCATTAATTCTGTCTGGGTTTCTCCCAGACCGTTTTCGGTTTGGCTTTCATCAATTTTTTTCCTGCAGGAACTGGTCTTTCCAAATCTGACCTCCTACCTAAATTTGAGGATCATAACTATATCCTCGTTCTTATCAGTTTGCTAGTTGTCAACATTACCAAGTCTGTGTTGGTTGCTTTGATGTCGTCTTCTGGTTCTTTACTTATTCTTAGGGTTTTTTGAGCTTCCCTATTTTCCTCTGCTTCTAGCTCTTACGTGCTCTCTGGTCATGGTACTTTCTAGGTAATCTGTAAGCCTTTTTTCTAGGTAATCTGTAAACAAATTCAACAAGTCATTCTGTGTAGGTTATTTTCTAAATATGTTATATAAATATTTACAAATATATAAAAATATATTTATAAATATAAAAATATAAATAAATGCAAATATATAAATATTTTATAATTTTCTATATAAGTAATTTCTAACTATCCTAAATACGTCTTTATCACTGACTAACCTTCATATGTTAGAACTAAAGATCTCAGTTTTTTCTTTGGTGTGCAAAAAACAGCATTCCTTCCTTTCTCCTCAGTCTTCCTGCTTATGTTTTTCTGTGATGGAAACTATTTTTGCAATATTTTGTATGTTGCATTCAGAAACGCTTGTTGCAGAGAATGTATGGTCCAGGCTGCAGGTGGGTATTAGTTTTAAAATAACCAAGTAGCTCAAGGTAAAGATCCAAAAGCATTCTTCTGGTTTATTTTTTTTTTTTTTGTGAGTTCGCTATTTTGGGTAAAGTCATTGCAGTTTTATTTTTCTGTCTGTCATACTGAGGAGAGAGGATACTTCCAACCAAAAATGAGCTATCATTATAAGGTCTCTTGTTGAAATACTTTCTTTTTCTGTGCTTTTTCTTGCACTGCATCTCTGCCTTCTCTGGTTTTCTTTGCATGGGTTTGTTTTGGGAGCTGCTAATCAAGCTGGGAACTGTGGGGTAAGAAAGCGTTTTTGCAGTTGCTTTCTAGTGAATATTTTTGCAGCTTTAATTCATGCTTCTTTAACTGATCTGAGCTTCATATTTTTTAATTAAGACATCTTCAGATTCCTGAGGAATTATTCCTGTTACAGGTAAAGCTTATATATAAGATGTAGATGGCCTTTAGAGGTATAGCTTGTTACTTTTTTAAGTCTAGGACTTGTGACACAATTTGTGAGCCAGAAAGGTGGTTGGCATGTGCCTAACCTTAAGTATGTGAGTGATGTCTAAGAACAAAGCATTCAAACTGTGCTTAATTTTTACTTTACTCGAATTTTAGCTGCACAAGCTTCTTATGTTTTTTCCTGAATAAGAATGAGATTGTTGAGTTGGGATAACATTTGGTTGTCTTGGTTGTCATGCAGTACGGTCTTACAAAGTGCATCTCATTACGCTGGTGTTTTGCTTAAAATGATGAAAGGCCAAAGAATAGAAAGAAGATGAGTTAACTCTGACATTGATGTAATGCATAAAATAATTTGTTGATTATTAATTTGGTGTCTTGTGCATGTATGTAAATTCTGTGCCTATTAAAATTGTAAATATCTTCTATTTTTTTTTGTATTCCACAGATGATGTACTTCATCCGTTTGTCATAGGACTTCAGTCACTCAAAGGAAAACTAAAGGTATAAGTAACTTCTAACTTCCCTCGTTCCCTTCCCCTCTACCCTGCCCCATCCTTTCTTCTGAGGTCCTTAGGTCTTCCCTGGGGGAAGGGAAGTTTATCACAATTAAATGCAGTGTTTCTGTTCTGTTCCTCGACTACTAATGAAATCTGCTTCTTCTTTTTTTTTTTTTTTGAAAAATTTCACAAAACTGGTATGATGCCTACAGTTGTTTCAGTATTTGCTTTATCAAAAGTGTATATTTACCTTAAATTCTTACTTTAATCAATCTCCCTGGATATTTACTTTGTGGAGGGAAAGGCCTTCCTCAGTTAAGATGTTTAGACCTTGATATTTGCCTGTCTTCTCCAAAGAGTATTTGCCTTTCCACGCAGCTACAGATCTGTTGTGAATAATCCAGACCTAATGTAAATCTTAGCTGCAGCATTATCTTACAAGTGGTGGTTGATTTTTCTGAAGTTATGCCTCTGTAACAAAAATTGTGTTGTGAGGACTTGCTCTTCTAAAAAGAATTTGAAATAAGTCACTGCAAACTCATTTATGGAGTTAGTGCTTTGTTAGAAAAATAAATTAAAAAAACCCACCCAAACCAGAACTATAATTGGTGGAAATATTTAGTAAGGTACTGTAAGAGAGAGTTTGTTTTCTAGGACAAAGAGACTTAAACTGGAAAATAATTTCTCTTTGCAGGCGGTCGAGGCAATAAGTGCTTTATATAGGATAAGTAGTTTTGCTTTTGTACAATCTGTAACTTCTAATTAAATACAGTCTATATTTGCTACTTTATGTAGGCTTCTCTGCAAATACCTGTGCATGGGAAACAATGAAATAGTTAGAGCTGTCCAGTTAGTTTGTAACTAAAATACTCAAGTGTGACCTTGTTAGATTTGGTTCATATTGCAGAAACTTACCTTGAGCTATTTTTAGGTGCGTTTATTAGCTATAAAGTATAATGGGAGATCATTTCTTCTATTTTGTAAAATAAACTCTCAGAAAAATACCTTCAAGACCCCTTCCAATCCTTTCTCAATGCTGTTACTTTTTTTTTTCCCCTCCCTCTTTCCTCTCCCTCTTGGATCCTGCCATTGCCCGCATCACCAGAATCTTAGAACTGCAGTATTGACTTCCCTGTCGCGCTGCTGGTTCTTGAACAGTGCCCAAATTTAATAAACTTAATTGATTAGTTTACAGCTGCTTTCAGTGACTACAGAGAACACTAAACTCTCAATTAGTTGGATTGCTACATCCTGCTGTAACTGTACAGATATAAGCTAGCATTGTTTGGTAGTTTATAAGAATATTTTAGCAGTAGTTGTAGTGAGTTTAAACTGTACAGTTAGCTTGCCTAACTAGCACCTTCCTAGTAGTTACTTGATTAACCTATTCTCAGTATGTAGTGTGTTGTGGTTCCCCCCCCCCAGCAAAGCTGAGACTGATTTAAAGCCTGGTATGTGGTGGTGTCCTCAGTGTTGTTTAATTTATTGTGTGCAGCTGAGGGAGGACAGAACCAGTATTTCTTTGTGCTGAGATTCTCAGTTACTTTTGTCCAATATTTGAGAACTTGAGTGGGAAGGGCATTTGGTGGACTGCTGACGCTTGAGTAACTTTTTTATTCTTGCTGTAAAGTGAATGAGTTCCAGGCAATTCTAAACACAGTTTGGGGCTTTCATATGTGCTTGAAACAATTCAAGCATGTGCAAGTTCAGAATGCAAATAGGCATATGTCTGAAAATGTATGTACAGTTAATAAAGACTTGTGGAAGGAAAAAATAATTATTGTCCCAAGTCTGTGTTGCTTGTGTAATGCAAATACAGGTGTAATCTCATAGACTCGCTTCTGCAATGCAAGGCCCTTCTCTGAAAATCTATCAGCTCTTCTGAAACTTTCTCTGGAGGTCTTGGTTGTGAAGAAGTTAATGTTATTGTCAGGTTCAGGCTTCTTCTTTCTTCACAAGTGTTGTATAATGTGGTTTTGATACAATCAGATGTAATAAAACAGTTTTCACGATGCTTTTTATTTCTGGTAATGCATTTGAATTTGATAAATTAAAAACAAATTAGAAAGTCTTAGAAATTACTTCAGCTTTGAGTCTTCATAATGTTAGCACACCTTAAAATATTGAGAGAGCACCTCTCAATTATTTATCAAATTTGATTAAGAGATAAATAATACAGATTATTTATCTGTATCATTTATCTGTATTATCTGTTGCTGAATCATTTTAGAAACCTATGCAATACTAGAGAATAAGCATTTAAAAAAGCTTGGAAGTTTTACTCTGTGCCATACGGTTCTTCTGGCACTTCATTAGCAAACCTCATACAAAACGTAAAGAGTGCGAAGATTTGTGTACCTGCCTAAACCCGTCTTGTCCTTTCATAGCTGTTCTAGTAGCAATTTTGGGGTTTTTTTTGTGAATATGTATAAATTCAGCTGTAGTACTTAACTAACATTTTAAAATGTTCTGATGGAGTGTTTGGAAAATCTTGCTGCATTTTTCTTCTTACCTGGGTTTGTTTTTCTTTTTTGCTTTGGGAAAGGGAAGGGTTTGGATTCTGTATCCTCTTTTAAGATACCAGGATACCAAGATAACTGGATTCCTTTTTTTTTTTTTTTTCTAGAACTCCAGTCTCACCGCTGCTGTATATTAGCTGTAACTGATGCTTTCTTTCTTTAATCACACTTTCAGATGTTCAAAATACTATTTAAAAGCTTTTAGGGTTCAGAGTCACTTTTTCTGTATTTCTCAGAAAAAAATAACTTAGAACTATAGGACTATGAAGTTGGAGTAGCGTGAATTGGTTTATGCTTACTTACAAAAGTTTTTAATCTTAAACTTAGCTTAACGCTTTTTTTTATGTTTTTAAAATGAACAAAAGATTAAATACTGAAAGTGTGTCAGACTGAAAGTTGGGTTCCTGCCACCCTACTTACTTTTAACACTGCTGGTAGAAGGCACAGGGACCAATTAATGGAAAAATAAATTGTGAATTAAACATTCTTCACCCCCACTGCCCTGAATACCTTAAAGTTACAGTAGCAACATAATGGCTGAAATAGTGACTAAGACAGAAATGGTTCAGAGAAATAAGACAAAAAGGTGAGGGGAGATATGTACAAGATCAAAAGAACACAGGCAGAAAGTATGTATGGTATCCTTCCTTATTCCTTTCCAACAAAAAGGAGATAACTTAAGCAAATATCAACTTTCTGGCTAATAGTGTTGATATAGTCAGGACTGCACCCTTAGCCCTGAGGAAATTGTAGTTAGCAATAATGAAAAGCTTTTGGTTATTCAGAAATAACAGTAGGGGCAAGACACCTAAATTTTATACTCTGAAGGGGTTTTGGCTTTGTATACTATGAACTTAGGGGAAGGTTTGACATGAATTCTTTTAAATTAAGGAAACTAGAAGAAAAAAATCCAACCTTGTAGGTGTATGAGAGAGATGCTTGGTTGTTAGACTAATACTAACTCGTGCCCTGCGTTTATGTTTACGTGGATCATGGCTTGCATTATTAGTATAGGAATGGGTCCATATTTATCTTATACTGCTATGTAAAGTTGTATGTAACCTACTTTTAAAAAAAACCTGCCACATATCACAGTAGATATGTCTGCTGTGTTCCCTTGGGTCCCAGACAACTGCTTACCCATGTAATGTTAAATTGGTTGAAAATTAGTATGTGAGAGAGGAGCTGAGAAAGACCACAGTTAAATATATTAGTGATTTTTTTTTTTTTTTGCCTCAGAGTTCAAAGTTTTTCTTATAGAAAACTTTTAAAGATCACATCTCCTAACAAAAGTGTTCATTTTGGTTGGATGGATTCCGTGTTCACTTTTTGCATTGTTTTGCCTTTGTTTATATATCTGATTAAACAAGAATGTGACGGTTCATCCAGGTGAAAATGGCAAGTAGCATGTCGGGAGGGGGAACTGTATTTACATTTATGTAATAGCTTTTGGTTATTCAGAAATAACAGTAGGGGCAAGACACCTAAATTTTATACTCTGAAGGGGTTTTGGCTTTGTATACTATGAACTTTCAGACTTCTTCATTACCAGTTTCTGCACTCCTCAGGGTGATAGATTAAATTTTTTAACAGTTCAGCCTGAACATTTGGTTTTTGTTAGTCAGGGAGAATATAAAGCAACCTAAAGTATCTTCTGTTTTTGCTTCATCCTTGGTAATACATTGGATTTTTGTTTTGACTTTCTACAAATGGAATGCAGTTAGCTATTGATTTCTTTAATTTTCCTAATTACAGAGTATCTTTCCATTCATGCTGTTCTCCCAGCGTGTTTACTTTATGCAGCTAGATTCTTCAGCTAGGTCTTCAGTTTCTAATAAGTTTAATTAAGATTAACCAAAAACTATAGAAAGTTTGATTCAAGATACTGTGCTACTTGGGGGAAGGCCGGAAGTACATGTTTCTTACGTTGCTATGTTAATTTTATTTAGCACTGTCTTTTACTGTAATTATTTATTAAAAAGTAAGATGGTGTTATAAATGTGAATTTCACAGTAATTAAACCACAGTTTCTTGCTCAATGTTGATTGTGTTTGTATTGAGAGTAAGTTTGTATTGAGTGTAAGTTTTCTAATGGCATCATGGAGTATGTTGGCAGAGCTTAGATAATAACAGATTTCGTGCTCTGCAATGTCTACTTTAATGAATAAAAAGAAATGAAAATCCTGAGTGCATTACACTTTGGAGTCTCTATCATCAGGTGGATAGGTTTTTCACCTCACCTGGCTTTGGAGTGAAGTCTTGGGATTATTTAGTGAATTATCTGCTCTGGAAATTTGTTAAGTGCGCACGTTGCATGGCCATCTTGTGCATCCGGTTTTAATGCCTGTACAAATGGCTAACTATCATAATCTGTAATCTGTCCACAAAGTATTGGTTACAAGTGCAATCTTAGACACAGTATGCAGTGTACTTGCGGAAGGTGGAGGAATGAAGAGTATGAGATTTTTCTGTTCAATTTGAGTTG